CTCCCCTTTCTCCCTCCCCTCCCCGCCTTCCTTTCCTCCTTCTCCCTGTCTCCTCTCCCTCCTTCTCTCTTCAGTGCTGGGTATCAGACCCCAGGTACCCACACATACTGGGGAGGGGTTGTCACTGAGCTCCTAGCCCCAGCCCCAACTCAGGGAACTCATAGGAAAGACCCTTACGTGTGATCAGGCTCTTTGGTGTCACAGCCATATAATCCTCCCAGCAACCCCGAAGGGACCTTGTTTTCATTTCTCAGATAAAGTTCTTCGATGAGGAATACAGGGGTCAAGGTCACACAACCAGGGAGAGCAGGGCTCGGTGCGGCCTGGCTCTGCCTGGCTGCCTCTCGCCTTCCGACTGAACTTAATCTCATGTGTGAGGCCAAACACCAGATTTCAAAACCACATTTTCCCCACCTATGACACCATTGTACCTAGGAACATGGATGTGTGGAGGAGGCTTTTCTGTTTTCATCTTCTAATCGTTTGAAGTGAAAACGGCTCCTTTGTTACGTAGGTGCTGAGCGATGGTGGCTTTCATGTCCTGTCTGTGGACTACCGAGGTAGGGATTGACAACAGCGTGCAAAGGGTATTTGGTACTCACAAAGCTTTTGATGACCCCGCGTTGTGAAGGAAGTGATATTGTGATTGCCGTTTCTTCCTGTCAGGGTTCGGGGACTCTACAGGGAAGCCCACGGAGCAGGGGCTGGCAGTAGACGCTATCTGCATCTACGAGTGGACCAAAGCCAGAAGCGGCCGCACCCCTGTGTGCCTGTGGGGCCACTCTCTGGGCACAGGGTAAGGGCAGCTGAGGATGTGTCCTTCAGAGGGTGGCTGGGGCTTTAGAGTCCATTTCTCATATTTACTTGACTGTTAAATTTGCCTCCTTGACTATAAGCTTCACCTGCGTGCAAATTGTCTTGTTTTGCAGAGTTGCAACAGACGCTGCCAAGATCCTGGAAGAGAGAGGTAATAAATGCTCACGTGTTACAGTTTCCTGAGCTGGGAATATAGAGCAGTCAGGAGACTGTCCTGTAGCTTTGAAGGCACAGATACTTAAAGTATGTCACTGTTGGATCGTTTCTAGCAGAGCAACAGACTTTCTTTAGTCTCCTTCATTTAATATAAAATGACAGCTGCTTTTCCAGACTATGAAATTTAAAGAAATGAATAGTAAGGGTTAAAATTACCTTCAAAGGAGTCCTTTTGTGAAATTATATTCATTTTAATTATAGGACAGGGAAATAACACTTTATGAAATGATAGGCAGGACTTGCTTCCTGTAGCAGTATTACATAACCTTGGTGTTAGTATTTCTCAGAGTGACCTGAAAATAGCTTGCATTGGAATCTGTTGAGTGTGCTTATGTAAATCGCACGTTTCTTGGCTACTAGATGGTTGATGGATTTGAATCTCTGTGAATAGGGCCGGGTCATATCTTTTTCAAGATCTAAAATTAGAATTTACTCCAGATATGAACATGTTGCGTAAATAAAAACATTTGTTACCCTAATAACCGTCAACTTAAGAATTCCAAAGCCTAGTATCTGCTTTATTTAGTTTTTGTTTTATTATTTATTTACTTATGTATTTGTGGTACCGAGGAACGAACTCAGGACCCTACCCTTGCCAGCAGGCGTTTTTGCTTTTCTTTTTCTGGTAGCCCCTAGGGAGGGAGCCCAGGCCTCGTGCATACTTGGCAAGTGCTCCCGTGGAACTACACACTCAGCCCCGTTTGCTTTAATTTTGTGTCTAGTTATTTACATTTAAGGGCTAGCAAATGTTTATAGAAAATAACAGGGATAATTTAAAACTTCTTCTGGAAATAACTTACTCTTCTCCTGAAAGGCAATTATGGTAGGGTTAGATCACTTCAGTCTAAGCAAGGGATTGAGCTGATTTGAAGCTGGACTTTGGACTTTTCTTTTTTGAATCAGGGATCAGGACCTTGCGCTTGCAAGGCAGGTGGCCGCACCACTGAGCTAATTCCCTGGCCCTGGACTTTAGCCTTTTTAACCGACTCAAAGGCTGAGAAATGTTCTAGGGTCCTCCGCTTTGGCAGATTGTGAACTCTAATTTCCGTCCTTTCGGTTCTGAGCGAACACTAAAGATCCCGTCCTCTCCTCCCCTCCCCTCTCCTCCTCTCTGTCTCCTTCCCTTCCGTTCTTCCCTCCCTTTCCCAGCCTTCCTGTTCTCTTCTTTTCCCCTCCTCTCTTGTCCTTTTTCCTTCTCTCCCCATCCCCCTCTTTCTTTTTTTGTGGTAAGAAGATTGAACCCAGGGCCTCTGTACCGAGCTACACTCCCAGCTCTTTTTATTTTTTTCTTGAGTCTGACTCTAAATTGCCCAGGCTGGGCTCACAGTTGCTTGAGCCTCCAATGTACTGGGATTACAGGCATGTCAGGCTTGTGTTCAGTTTCTAATCCTGTCAACTGCCATCATTGCTTTCATTTTAACTGCTCTGAGGGAAAGGGCAGCTGAAACCGGCTGGGCTTTTAGTGACTGATGTCCTATATTTTTGTCATTATTTTCAAGGATGCCCAACGGATGCCATTGTGTTGGAAAGCCCATTCACCAACATCTGGGTTGCGACTATCAATTATCCCTTGTTACAGGTGAGTCTCTGGTTCTTCCTCACAAGGTATCAAAGAGAAGCCATTTGTATGCATTTCCCACCCACTGTCCACATGGGGCTGCGGGCTTGAAGGGGCTGTGGTTTCTGCACCACCCGGGATGGAGGGGAGGTGAGAGGGTTAGGGTGGGTGGTAAACCTTTCAGGAATCATGGCTTCTGTCAGCCAAAAGGGAGAAGTACTGTGAGCCATTGGCAACTAACACTCTCAGCAGAGTTGAGAGTCTACTGTACTAGACTTTTCAAATAACCAACTGTACGCTTTCTATTTTATTAATTTTTAGATTTACCTTTATTATTTCCTTTCCTATCACCTCTTACCTTTCTGGGTAAGATCTTTCTTGCTTGTATCTTTCTTTACATTTGTTCTGTTCCTTGACAATTTTTTGAGATGGTGCTTATTCATCACTTAATAATTTATATTCAGTATTTCTCCATTGTTAATTTATGCATCAGGATATATTCTACCTAAGCCACACTGCTACTGTGTTCCACAAGTTTTGAAATGTATTTTATCACTTGGTTCAAAATATTCTGTAATATTATCGATTTCTTCTTTACCCACATGGGCCATTTAGAAATGCATTTCAAAACTCCCATACATTTGGAAATTTTGTTATTATATTTGTTATTGATTTCTACCTTAATTCTATTGTGATCCAAAATATACATTAAAGTATTTCAGTCTTTTGAAATTTGTAGGTTTTGAATCATCCAAGTGGATAAATCATTTTTCATCATGAAACGACTCCTTTGCTTTTGTGATAGTGTTTTTTGACTTAAATTCAACATTACCCAGTATTAGTATGTCTTTATTTTGATTAATGTTTTTGATTGGTGTTTTTTTTTTCTATTCTTAGACTCTCAACCTTTTCAAAGGTGTATATTTACTACATATATCTCATAAGCACCATAGTTTGGAGTTTTAATTTCTTTTTGGGTGTGACAGACTTTGTCCATTAGTCGTAGTAGTCCATTTATAGTTATGATATAGCTAGGTTCAAATCTGCTTCCTTCTGTTCTGTTCCGTTTGGGCCATCTCTTCTGGGTCCCTTGGCCTCTACTTTCTTGCTCCTTTTGGAGGCACAGCTGTGTCTCAAGGAGAAAGATGGCTGAGTGTGGGGCTCACCTCTCTGGTCTTCCCTTCTCTCTGGGATCTAGACTTCTCCCTTCCTTGGTAGGTGTCTGACACCTTCATGAGAGGTTTTTTGTTTTTTTTTCTTTATGTAAACATTTTGTCCAGTTTTGTTAGTTATCTCTGGTAAAAGGTTTAGTCTGTAACAATACTTCTGTCATTAGAAGAGGCAAATCTCTCCCCCAAGTTTTGAGAGACGGGGTCTCACTATATTGCCCAGGCTGGAGTACAGTGGCTATTCACAGGCGCGATCCCACTACTGATCAGCACGGGAGTTTTGACCTGCTCCGTTTCCCACCTGGGCCGGTTCACCCCTCCTTAGGCAACCTGGTGGTCCCCCGCTCCCGGGAGGTCACCATATTGATGCCGAACTTAGTGCGGACACCCGATTGGCATAGCGCACTGCAGCCCAGAACTCCTGGACTCAAGCGATCCTCCCACCTCAGCCTCCCGAGTGGCTGGGACTACAGGCGTGCACCACCACGCCTGAGATTTTGCCTTAGAATCTATTTTGTCACTCAGAGTGACATGGGTAATGAGCATGGCGATAGAGCCGGACAAGTTTGGGTTTAAATCCAGCCTCTGCCACCAACCTTATAATGTCCTTTGTAAGTTGTTTACCTTCTCTGAGTTTTCCCATTTCTTTTTAATAATGGGGCTGATAATACCTAATACACAGGGTAAGGTAATGTATGAAAAGTTTCCTGATGCTCATAGGAACCCAGCAAATGGTCTTTCCCTTCTAACACTTTTTATTTTTTAGATTTTTTTTTTTTCCTTTTTTTGGTACTGGGGATCGAACTCGGGACCTTGTGCTTGCAAGGCAGGCGCAGAACCACTGAGCTAAATCCCCAATCCTCTTCTTCCAGTCTTGGTGTTACAGAGTAGACTAATAACTAGTAGGGGAAGAAGACCCAGAGTGGTTAACTAAAGGATAGAAGGAATTAAGAAAAGTCTTAATTCCTTGCGTGTAGGTGTGGTCAGTGAAGGTCTGACAGAGAGATAGGATCTAAGCTCTTTTTTTGAAAGCAAGGGAAAATAATTAGCAAACAGAGGAGCAGAGAGATGTGAAGCAAGACAGGGTGGAGAGTTGTATTACAAAACACCTGAGAGTCAATGTAGGGCGTCCATGGACACTTCTCACACTTGTGACCCTCTCACAGTGATGGAGACATCACTGATTCTAGCTAGAGATGAGGGAAATGCAGGCTTAGAGCCTTGTGGAACTGTCACATGCCTTATAAGAAGGGGACAGGCTAACTCCAGGCAGCAGCTAGAGGGGAGCATCCTTGGAATGAAAGATGGTGGTCAGATGCGAGTGGGCTCGCAGTCAAGTTAGCAGTTGATTTTAGTAGACAGTGTGGCATTCCCGAAGCTTTATAGTAGCAGATTTTACATGGCTGGTGCTTTAAGAGCATTTATCTGGTAGCATGGAAGACAGAGGAAAGCAGGAAGACCAATTAGGAGCCAGTTGCCATGGTCTGGGCCAGAGGGGATGCTGTGGCCTTCTGGTCTCCAAGGGCGGCCCTGGCTGGTGGGAATGAGCCATCAAGTGGACCGGAGTCTGCTTTCTTCTTCCTCCTCCAGAATTTGACATGAATTGCTGAAGGGCTTCTCTTACTGGGGTTTCCTCCAAGGAGTACTGATTCTAGGAGGGAGGAAATCAGAAAGGAAAGCAAAGAAAAAAATAAACCATGCCCTCAGCATGAAGAAGGGGGAGAGGAACGAAGACAGGAGTGTATTTAGCTCTCAGCCTGCACCTGTTTGCAAATTATCTGCTGCGGGAAAATAAGAAAGCTCAGGTCACACAGATCCCAGGAAACGGCTGCCAGCCTCCCTCGTTGTATCCACTTGGTTACCGAGGGGCATGAATTGCTTTTTTAAGCCAGATAAAAATATTGCTTATAAACATAATTATATTTAGAAAGTCACTCTTCTCTGCAGCTCATCTTGGTGGATGGTAACAAAAGACATTATAGCCACGGGGCAAGTGTTAATGATTTCTTTCTGTTTTAAGAAAAAAATGATGAGGCTGACATGTTTGTCAGCCCCGGGCCTATCAGTTCTGCACCCATTTCCTTTGCTTGGTGTTGTGCCTTTTACGACATCACAGTGCCCTTCACCCCACCCTGTCAAGTACAATGAAGGTATATGTACAGTTCTCTGCTGGTTGGTCCTCCTTGCAAATCTCTTATAAGATACAAAATCTGAAGCTCAGGCACACTGAGATGAAACTGACAGGATGGCTAGAAGTATACACCAGGGATCCTCACTTAATAGTTCCATCCCCTTTTTAGCAAATATTTATCGAATGCCTATCACGTTCCCTAACATTTTCTAGGTTTTGGGGATATCACAGAGAAAAAGATATTTCTGGGTCTCCTCTTATGAAACAGACAGAAATACACAAGAAAATACCCAATAGGGCCGCAAAAGCAATAAAGTAATCTGATCAAGAGTGGCTGAGTGGCAGAGGCCAAGGTTTAATAGGGAAAAAAAATCTCTGAATAAATTTCCTCTCTGCTGAGATTTGCATCATAAGAAGCCAGCTCTGTGGCAAAATTCAGAGATCTGGAGAAAAGCAAAGATGAGGGCCCTGCAGTGAGGTCAAGCTTGGAATGTTCTGGAAGCAGAGGCAACAAAGCCAGAAGGTGGACAGGAAGAGGCTTAGTGGTAAGGATGAGGTGGCCACTGGTTCTGCAGAGGCTCCAAGGCCACGGTGACACCTTTGATGTCATCTAAGTGCCTTTCGACGGTGCTGAGCAGACTGATGAGGTCTGGTTTGCAGGTTGAAGTAATCACTTATTATGGAGTAAAAGGGCGGAGATGGGAGCCACGTGGGGTTGGCAGCGTCCAAAGGGATGAAGGTGTCTTGGGCGGGGTCAGGGTGCAGCTGGAAATGAGAGCAGGTGTGGGGCACAGTGAGAAGGTGGGGGGCAAAGGAGAAAGGGGCTCACTGCTTGGTGTTTCTGTCCTTTATAGCTCCTTTCAGTTGAAATGAGGTTTTTAGGGTGTGTGAACGAATTTATTCAAAATATCCAAAAAGCAGATGGGGATAGCCTCGTATTTACTGGACTTTGCTGTTACAGAAGAAATTCAGCATGTGTAGCGTGGTAAATATTATATTTGGAGCCCTGTGGTCATTGTCAAAACCTAAAATGTCTTTTAAAGCATTATTATATTAAATCACATTCAGTAGTTTAATTATGTTCCAGTTTTCTCAAACCAGCTATCTAGGTATTGCATACTTCTACCAGAATTTCTGACACATCAGAAATTTTCCCTACTAGTTGATTATGTTTATAGTAGAAACAAATCTTAGGTTTTACATGTCGCGGGTTCTTTATGAGCAGAGAGTGGTAAGGGTCTATGATGTACCTTGTGTGTTAAAATAAAAGCCAAGTGTTACCTGGGATTCTCTAGGAGGGTAGAAAAATGTGTGACTCATTTTTTTGTTTCTTGCTGGATTTTTTTTTTCTAAATTCCCCCAAAATAGCACATTGCATTGTAAAATCATAAAAACTTAGGAAAGTTTTTTATATTTAGAAAATCACTTGCTAGCATGGTTCACAGTGAGAGACAAGTGGAACAGCTGTAAGATATTAATGTTTTTCTTTTTCTTCTTTAAAAATAGATTTTCCGGAAGTTTCCAAGATATTTACAGACACTTGTGGATTCCCTAAAAGAAGACAGAATAGTCTTTGCTAATGATGAAAAGTAAGCTAATGATGAAGGATGTCTGTTACTGTATAGGAATCTAAGGTTAACTACCTTGTGACTTACTAGATGCTAAGTCAGAATCACTAGAATAGGGATACGAGGATATCATTTTGGCATACTCAGATGGGCAGTAGGTTTCAGAATACAGCTCATACAGATGTTCAGTGTTTCTATTTTTCTTACATCTAATTTGATGCCTTCATCAATTCAGTCTTCTCTCTGAAGTCATAGAGTTCTCTTTACGGCTTATGGTCGAGTTCAGTAATCTGTAAGGGATCGCTGAATTCTCAGCCAAATTCCCTATGTAACCCAGACCCACTTAATACCCAGCCGGCTAACCTGTCCAGTGACCAGCATTTAGCAAGTTGGCCTCTCACAGGTGCAGATTTTAAAAATGCTTCCAAATAGGCAGTTGTCATAACACAATGAGGAAATCCAACACCGTCAGCAGCAACAATGAGTCACTGTGGCAGGGATGGCCAGGTATTGAAGTTTAGAAAGACAAGGAAGTACTGTTTGAGAAAGTCACTGGATAGAGATGTCATTCTTCATTCATTCTTTTTGAATTACCAAACTGGGAGGCTGACCCGAAGCTAAGGAAACCTAGTAATTGCACATCCATGCAAGGGGGGAAAAATCAATTGCTACAAAAAGGTCTTGTTGGTTCTGGGGTAATTTTTATTTGGGGATTTTGAGTTATTTTGTTTTTCAGCCTTTTTGAATGCAGAACCTTTGGACTGAGCTAAATTACTAGTCCTTTTTTTAATTTCTTATTTTGAGACAGGGTTACTCTAAGTCATGGAGTTGCCCAGGCTGGGCTCAAACTTGCAATACCTTGGCCTTAGCCTCCCAGAGTGCTGGGATTACAGGCCTGTGCCACTAGGCCTGGCCTTCTGTAGGCTTTCAATTAAAATATTTCAGGTTTTACATAAAAGGAGAAGTCAGGAAAAATTCAGGGCTTATTTTGTAAAAAATAAAGTACACTGTGCAAATTCTGTTTTGTGTTCTCTGAAATTTCCAAATACCACATAAAATTAAATCAATTAAATACCTGCTTACAGTATGCACAAATAGAGGGAAACTGGACTGGAAAAGAAATTACTACATGAAGTTGTCTATATATGAAACTGTCATATTCCTTGGAACAAGAGAAAGAGATTTGTGCTTTGGGCAAACCTCATGTTTTGCTAATGCTGCCAGTTAAATGTCAGGGTACAATTCTGAAACTGAATGCTTGTCTCCCCTTTGTCCCTAGTGTTAAGTTCCTGTCTTCTCCCCTTCTAATCTTACATGGAGAGGATGACAGAACAGTGCCTTTAGAAGATGCAAAAAAGGTAAACTAAAAGTTCAGGGCCGATGGAAACACACTATACTTACTGTACCCTTTTTTGTTTTCATCCAGCTAAGTCTTGATTAGAGCATAAAAGATTGCAGAGGACTCCGGGGCTAGGTACCATCTATCGCTGACTCTCCCAGACAGCCTCTCTCTGGGACCTAGAGCTGTTACTTTGTTCCTCCCTGACCCGGGGGTGAATGAGGATGCCTGACAGAGATACCTTAACACGTAGGCAGCCAGGGGCTCGTACCTCTAGTAGGCAGAGGAGCCCTGAGCCCTTCGCTCACCTCACTTTTATTCACCCACACACGGGCACAGCAGTCAAAGTAACGCGAGACTCACCTGCTTTGCAATATCCATCAGTGCATTCTCTGGTAAACAACTTAACCTCAGCTGTCTTAACTTTTCCCTAATACGCAGTCACCCTTGAGGGCAGCCTTTCTCATTTGTGATCACCGAGGAGGCCAATTAGGTCCCAATTCTTCTCTGGTTCACAACAGAAGCTCCCTGATATTATAAAGGATCCTCCATACCCCTAAGTAGCCTGGTTTACACAGAGAGTATCAGTTGGCCACTGAGTCCAGGGGAGTGTTTTGGGGTACTCAGCCACTTGTCTGGGGCTGTCCTGGTGGAGAGACGATCTGTTTTGGGAACCTCCACGGAGTCTGTACTGGAACAGCCCTACAAATGTGGACGGTTTTTCCCCTTTAGGCAAACCTTACTAGCGTGGCCCACAGCATCTCTTGTCCCTTTGCAGCCAGGTACTGGCAGTGGAAGGACAAGGATCTGTCCATATTCTGTAGTAATTTGAGTGTCCTGTCCTGCAGCTGGACAGCCAGCCACTAGGGGGCGTGGAGAGTCTCATGTCTCTGATTTAATGAGAAAAGCTCTCCAAGTTGATTGTTTCCGTATCTTTTGGGAAAATTATAGGAGACCTAGAGCTTTGAATTGCCAGACTTGAGTCCCTGCCTTTCCATCTCTTACAGCTCTTTGAAATTGCACACGCTGCCTACAGGAATAAAGAGAGGGTCGAGATGGTTATCTTTCCTCCTGGCTTCCATCACAACTATCTTTGTAAAAGCCCCATGTTTGTGAAAGTCGTGAGGTAAGAGCTGCTTTGCTACATGTAAAGGCAATTTGGGCTGCTTTGGTTTACTGAGATGGAGAGCAGGAGGAGGTGTGAGCTGATCTGAGTTTGTATTTTGCAGAGATTTCCTGAGCAAGCAGTGGGCATGAGGTTGGAGAGCAGCGTGAATCTTTAGCTGAGGACCTGCGAAGTAGACTTTCTGCAAAATTGAATGAGGCTGCTTAGAGGAGCGAAAGCCTGCATGCTTCCATAAGTCACTTGTCAAAATAAGGAAAGCATGGATGCTGGGTGGTATGGAATGTGGAGAATCAGAACTTGGTAAATTTTGGATCCTATTAAAATATATCGTCAGCAAATGTTCTGGGAATAAGTTGATTGCTATGGCTTTGTGTCTGTGTCTGCCCCCAAGTTTACATGCCGAGACCTATTCACAAATGGGATGGTTTTAGGATGTTGAGCTTTCGGGAGATGTGAGGCTGCGAAACAGGCCTTTAAGGAAATTCCCTCTTCCCGGTGAGGACACAGTGAGAAGGCTCGCCCACAAATCAGTACTGGCTTTTAACAGACACCAAATCTGCCAGGCCCCTGAACTTGGACTTTCCATCTCCAGAACTGTGGGAAATAAAATTTCTATTGCTTATATGTTAGCCAATTTGTGATCCTTGGTTATAGAAGCTTGAATGGACGAAGACAGTGGCCTTTGGTTTGACCTTAGACAGCAGTGTGAGGATGTAATTAAAGAATTTCTATTTTAGTTTAGTTCATTTAAATGTCATTAAAAAGTTCCAGGCAGTTTTCTAGCTTTCTGATTAGTTTTGGGGAGAATCCTAGCAGGCTACTGATCTCTTATCAAGTAGTAAGCTCTGGCACTCATGCAGTCCTTGGAAATTGACATTTTATTTTTTTCCCTAAATATAGTCATGTACTTTCCTATTCCGAGATACTTAACTAATATTAGCTAATGAAACACAAAACAAAATTAATGTTGTAAAAATGTTCAAGTTCAATAAGAAGCTATATTTTCTAGGGACAGCTTACAACTCAATTCCTTTGGCCACACCGACCCCATTGCTAGATTCATTGGACAGGGAAATCTTTAGATCCGAAGGCTCCATGTTCCAGATGTCCCGGGCGTATTCCTTAATGGTCCGGTCGCTGGAGAATTTCCCTGAGGCAGCTATGTTTTTGAGCACCATCCTGTTCCAGGCTTTGGGATTCTGTAAACAACATATGCAGAAACAGCCAAGGGCCGGAGAGCTTGTTGACAAACATCAGAGCAAGCCCATTTCAAAGGGAAACAACAGAACTCCAGTGAGTTATAAATACAACCCCCCCACAGTTGATGGACAGAGGCGGGCTGCCTGAGTCTCATATTTAGAGTAAAAGGAGTATTTTTCATTTTGAGCGAAAGCATGGATATACATTTTCTAACTGGTAATTCCTGCTGTGGTTACAGTTTTTTTTTGTTTTTGTTTTTGTTTTTTTTTGCATGAACGAGGTATCTCCCATGTTTTATGGTGGGTGAAGCATTCCCTTTTTACTATGTAAGAGGAGGACAAGTATCCATGTAACACAGCGTGCCATGTGGAGAGAGAGACTTAACCTGTTGCTCCCACAGCTTCAGAACACTGCCCTCGAATGATCGCTGTGAGTGCAGTGAAAGCAGGCAGTACCGCAAAGGGCTGCACTGACCCATTTAGCTGTTTTTGTTCTCTTGAAAGGTACACGGCCCAGGAGGCTGCTACTGAGTCCAAAGACTCCAGTGGGGTTTCAAAAGAGGGTGAATTACAGCTGTATCCTTAAAAATACAATCTCAGAATTTTACCTAAAAGAAGATTATAAAAAGACATTTCATTTATAGCCTGATACTTTTGTCAGGAGTGCTATTAGGTGTGGTGGCGCACACCAACAATCCCAGCGTTTGGGAGCCTGAGGCAGGAGGATCTCCAGGAGTTCAAGGCCGGACTACCTAGGGAGACCCTGTCCCAGAACACCCAAAAACAAAAACAAAACAACCCCTCCCCTCCCCAAACTCTGACAGTTTCCTGGATACTATTCGAAGTTGTTTACCAGTGCATACAAGCATTTAAAACAAAGACTAAAACTATCATCATATCGAAGGTACTATAAAACAGAGCCTGAAATTACATTTAGTCAGGATTTTGCAAGCTTCTTGTGATAACAAATAAGAGCTTCCCTCTATTCCTCTATTCCAGCTCTGCAGGTCATGTTTAGTAAGCCTCAAAGAGACAATTATTGTGAAGAGTAGGAATGCAGTTTGCAGAAATGAGCAAGCAGGGCTGAGTCAAATGCTGGGCCTCTAGCTGGGCATTCCCTGGGCCTGGGCCACAGTTCACAGAGGAGATGCGCTGTGTGGGCTGACAGTTAAATTTGTCCTTGTCCTTGTTCATATTTTCCTTTCCTGCTCTGTTTTCTTTGCGGTTCTCGAGGTGGCCCTTCTCTTTCCTCTGACTTTGAGTTCATGTGTTCTCAGTGTACGGTGCCCAAGGCTCCTCCACCTGTCTGAGGCTTTATATCCTGAGCTGCAGGATGCACCTCCTGCATGGTAGGTGCTTAAGAAATAATGAATCGTGTGATTTTCTTTTTTAACCTGGATTTGAAAAAATTTCTAATTGCTATGGAAATCTCATACCCCAGCCTCTGCTTAAATGTGGGGAAGTCATGTTTTGATCTAAGTAGCCTGGAAAGTTGCCTCACTTCTTTCTCTTTGTGGTCCTGGGGTTGGGGCCTTGCACTTGCTAGCACGCGCAAAGCTACACCTGCAGCCCATCCTGCCCACCTTTCAGTAGTGAGGGGGTCCCTACTATTTAGATTTTTTAAAAAAAGAATTTGATTAGCTAGAGTAAACTGAGTTCTTTCACAAATCTCCATCAGTTACTCACCATGTACAGCTGGCTGACTTTTTCTTGACATTTGATATAGGCTTCATAATCTGCAAAGACTTTAAACCTGTATTTTTGTGATTAGAAGGAAAAAGCAAAAGAGCAAAAAGCTCCATTAACAGATGCATGCTACAATTCCACTGAAAATTCTCTCTTGCTTAATGTCAGGCATGACTAGTTTACCAAAAACTCCTATTTCTGCTCATAAAAATGTTCCTCAGCCCTCTACTTTTTTATGGTTCTTCCCACATGTAAAAAATGTCATCATATGGATGTACTTGAAAGTCGAGCGTATCAGTGGAAAGAGAAAAAGAACACCAGTTTTGAGGGGTTCCTTCTTTTTTCCCCCCTTTTAAAAAATGACTGGTACACATTTGTGACACATAATTACATCTGTCTTGGGGCATTAGCATGTATACATTTACATCTTCATCAGTTTAACTCCTCCCTTCCCCCTTTCCCATCTCCATGTCTACCTCCCTGTTTCCTACCCTCTCTCTCTTTTCTTTTGCTCTTTAAATTATTTTTATTTTGGGTTTCTTGTGTCAGAGAAACCAGGCAATACTTAACCTTCTGTGTCTGATTTATTTTATTTACCATTATGGTCTCAAGATTTATGTATTTTCTTGAGAGCTTCAGTCTTAAACCTGATAGCCGTGTTGATGGACACTAACTCTTTCCCCCAAGATCAGGTTTGCTGATCAGATCACAGATCTATAGTAATCTAGTGGGTGGATTATCGTTGGTTTAAAATGCTTTTGTCCTCTTATCACAGCCCAAATCATACCAGTTTCTCATGGGAACTCACCTGTCATGGTAAAATAGCATGTTGATAATGTCTTTGAAAAGGTCAGGTTGCTTGGGAGAAAAGAAGCCATTGTCAATTTGATCAATGACCAGCTTCAGCTCTGGAATCGCCTCATAATATTCTTTTGCCTTGTACCTGCACGGAAGGGTGGGTGAGGACCTATAGGCTGTACTAGTGCATATGATTAATAACGTATTAAATGTTCCATCAGCTATAAAAGTGCATTCAGAAATACTAGCATTTATGGAAGCTAGCAATTTCAACATGGCTATAAATAACTTTTAATAGACCTTGAAGTGTATTTTCTCCCTTAAATTGGATTCATTCCACGTATCCATAAACACTGAGAATAGTAGATAATGAAAACTAGTCACACACAATAGTCTAATTTGCTAGGATACAGCCAGATTCATTTCGAAGCAGACTTCACAGTTCTAAATAAGCACTGTGTTTAGGAAACCAGTTTGCGTTTGGACCCATTGATTCTTAAACTTTGTTGCTGTGGGGGGAAATTTATTTCTAAGGGCCAGGAATTACATTTTATATCCTCTGAATTTTGTGATCTCTGGAGCTCCTTTGGGCATTACTCTTCATTTCGCGCTTAAACTCACATTAATAAATCTAACTAGTTATTAAAGGAAAACAAATGTTTCTGAGTGCATCTCTATATCCCTCTTCATTCTCTCCCACCTTCTGGTCTAGCTTTTTGGGATCTTAAAAAGACCACTAAATATTGGTTTAAATGATAGGTCCTGGTTCATCTTTTGCTCAAAGCAAATCACAGATACAGAGAACGGATTGAGGTTGCAATGGCTCAACGAGTGGCAATTTAACAAACAGCAGCTCTGCGCACCTGCGCCCAAGCTCCTGTGACTTTTACTTGCCGGGCTTGCTAGGACTATTCTGTACCAGGCAGCTTCCCTGACTCCTGCGGGAAACATCCTGCTGCCACATCTCCTACGGTGCGGCAGCAGTGGGATGCCTGCGTGGCAGGAGTCCTCCGAGTCCACACACCCTCCTGGGGGTCACCTGCCCGACTCACCCTTTCCCATCCAAGGCAGCCACATCATCTACCCTCATGCCAAAGATGAACAAGTTCTCTTCCCCGGCTTCCTCTGCCATTTCCACGTTGGCCCCATCCATGGTCCCGATGGTCAGGGCTCCATTCAGCATGAACTTCATGTTGCCTGTGCCCGAGGCTTCAGTGCCTGCCGTGGAGATCTGCTCCGACAGATCTGTGGCTGGAATGACTGCGAGAAAGTCGCATTAATATTACTGATGCGGTCGCCCTCGATCCTCTTGTGCTGTCTGAGCGTTTATACAGCTGGCCTGTTGTGATCGTTAGCATGGGCACATCAAGATAAATATTCAAATGGGTGCAGAAGGATGGGGCTGATTGTCCTTAACACAAGCAGTCGCTTTTGTCCAGCTATGATGTGCTGCATAGTTGCCTGATATGCTATTCTTTTTCGGCCTATAAACTTTCAAGAGTGTCTACTGATTCAGGGTCATAAATGTCACCACTGCATTTCTCTTCTTCCATTGCTGCTTTCCAATTTTTGTTATGGTTCTGTTTTTACTGCCTGTGCTTTATAAAATATATTGCAACTTCTCTTTCTTGGACCATAAAATTCA